CTCAGCCTACGGAAGTACTCCAGCTTACGCCTCCTCAGTATTCACTCCAGCAAATGGGCGGATCCATTCCGGTAAGACGTTGGCTTACCTCGCCCACACAGACAGGCTCACGGCTGGCTGGAGGAGGAACCCATTTCAGGGGAGGCCACCAGCTCCCGCCACGTTACTGTTTTCCGTCGTTGCTTCAGGAGACTCGGCTTCCCCGAGGAGTTGTCGTGCGACGGAGGCACAGACCTCCCCAGACAGGAGTCCACAGGCTTCTTCGCCGCTTGGTGCCTCGAGTCAAAGATCTTCTGGGCACAATACGCCTCTCTGATGGGCGCTCGGATGCAAAGGTTCAGTCGGCCAATTGGCTGCTCAGAGGCAATATCTCACCCTGGGGGTCTGTGGCCTCCGACGGTGTCGCTAGGACCCTCATGCAACACGTAAACACACCCCTACATCTGGATGACTATTACACAAACTCCCCGCCCCCAAACAGTGAATCAGAGCAGAAGTGTACAGGACACTAGTTAATTTGGTTTTGTGCAGCTCAGGTCACATTTATGTTGGTTTCTGTGAGCCATTACAATAATGAGCCTTGCCTTTCATGAGGTCCATCTCTCCAACAATGGCTAGAAAATTACCCTTTCTTTAGTGTTCTATACAAATAATATTGAGAATGATCAAACAATATAGCAATGAACATAAAAACTATTGTTATTATAGTCGTCATTACTTTAGTAATAAAAATAAGTATCAGGATAATTCGTATTCTTTCTAGAACCAGTTTGCATCTCCTAACCTATCAAATTTGGTATCCTATTAATGTCTACTAACCATATGTAGCAAAATAATCGGTGTAATTAATGGATAAGCACTTTGTGAACGTTATTGCATTGATCATTATCATCACTGCCATTATTACTGGCATTGCCATTGATCTTATTATTGCTAAGTCGCACAAGACCCACATGAAAGCAGCATTTAAAGAAGCAAAAGATCGGGTTGGGTTTGTTGACTGAAACAGGTGCTAACATAACTGCACACTGGCAGCCTATATCTCAGAAAAATACATATATAGAAGTTAGGTATTATTTGTACTTATAAAACTTTGTAAAGTACTCGATAATCCTTTAGTACAAAAAAAAAAGAAAAACATTCTAGTCAACAAAAATATAATAAGAAATCAGTAAGAAATAATAACAAAGAATCAGATGTTAAACAGAAAACATAGTGTTCTGAGCTTCAAGGCGTAGCTATCATATCCAACACACTCATGCTACAGAAGTATTTACTCCTATCATCGAGGAAGTTTACTTTAGTTAGGTACTATAATCCTGAGATATAATAATAAAATTTATCAATTCCTGTACAGTCATCATCCAAGACTCACATATACTCTTAAACTCAATTACTTTAAATTGCTTTCGACTTCAAGAAAAATTAAAACTACATTTCAAGTATTACAAGTCATGTTTATTTTATTTACAGTACGATCCCTGCGACTATAGGTAGTACACTTTATAACAACCTCTTCACAAGGCTCATACACACACAATTTTCATTATTTCCTTAAACTGAGTGTAAAACAGTTTCCTCTGGAAGCTTTATCACAATTTCAGCATTGGTGTATTAAATATTAATTTGTCAGTTTTTACCTTAAGACTCCAAATAATACTATCATTACCAGGAAATACTTCTGTAACAACACATACTGGCCATTTATTGTCTTCTCTGACTAGAACATTTTTTTAAAAGATGTTTTCTGTTTCATCTAGTTATGAGTTTACATACATTCCATGTTTGTGTGACTACTTTTGCACTGTCTACATTCACACAAATGATGTACTGATTCTGAGTTGCAACAATGAGACATATTGATGAGGTCTGATTTAGCTTCGAGCAATCTGAGGTTATAATTTGTGCATTATTGTTATCAGTTCCCTGTTAGCTGTGATGCACACCAGTCATATCCACAGAATTCTAACAACAATACCCTTTCCCCTAACCTTCATAAGGTTCCTTCTTGAATAAAAATATTCAAAGGATTTTGTTTTACTCCTGTTATTTCAAAAAAATTGAAAAGGCAAATCTTATTGTAATATGAAAATTAACTATTCAACCAAGAGAAAATACAGTTATATGTGTAATGCCAGCAAATAAGATGTGAAATTATTTATTAAGTAATAATAATCAGTTGTAAGTTGAGATATACAGAAAAGTTAATAAGAAAAATAATTAGGCCTGTTTATGCACACCAAATAGCAATCAAGAGTCTCAAAGGATGTTTTTGGGGTGTGCCAAAATCCTGAAATGTATGTAGGACATACAATGTAGTATTGTACTGATGAGCATTCATGGTCAACAAGGCAATCAAACAGGTCGTTTTAACAGTCTGACCAATCCTTGTTTACACTGGGAGTCATCGAGGAAATGGAAACACTTTTAGTACAAGTATTAAGGGAGAAGTGAGGTTGGGCAGGAATAGGCTTGCCAGTGAGGTCCATCTGGATAGATGGCACATGAGCTTGGTACTCATATGTAAGTGTGACCAAGGTCTAGTATTTAAAAAGAAGTATACAGTAAGATAACTAATTACATTTTTTTTCTACATTATTTATGCCCAGCAACTGCTGCAAATAAAGATTCTAAGGATTATCTATCGACTATGTATTTACATCAAACTGTAAAAGAAAAAAACTCCTAAAAGGAGATGAAATCTCAAAAGATAAAAAAATATATATGTTTTGCAGCTCAGAGTACATAATCAGGAACAGGGCGTCATTATCAAAATTACTTGTTCAGACTAAATCACCCTTTTTCACGGAGTTCATTGCTGAAAATAATATAGGCTGACCTTTTACAAGTTACATAAGCTTGGGACAAAAAAAGGTGCTGGATTAAGCAATTTACAGAGGTGAGACTTACGGAAAAAAGAAAGCAAAATAAGGCACACAATGCATCTTACTGAAATGTCAGCAATCTTAAGCAATGTAACAGCATAAACCATTGTAAGTCAGCTATAGTATAAAAAATACCATATATGTATTTGACTATGGGGTTATTATGCAATTTACTAAATACCAGATTTAGATTATTGTATCAGTCCTCTGCAGCTGAAAGGCTAGTTGGGTTCAGGCTCCCACTGAAGTGAAAAAACATTAATTCTTTATAAAATGGTCTATGAATGGAAGAAGAGCAAAGATTCTCCAATGAAACCTTTATCATAAATAGAACTGAAAGCTAAAATAATATCCATCTTGTAAAAAAAAAAAAAAAAAAAAAAAAAAAAAAAAAAAAAAAAAAAAAATATATAATATATATATATATATAATATATATATAATTATATATATATATATATATATATATATATATTATATAATGGAAGACTACAAATGATATACTGGTAAAAACGAAAAATTATTTACAGACCAGAAAAAAGACACTAATCCCAGTGTACATAAAGAACATCAGCTTGCCCTCAATAGCAAGGGTCTAATAATTTAACAATGCAGATTTGCAAAGTAACTATGAATAAGATTGTAATCATAAGACACATGACGATGCTATGTCATGTTACATGCAGCTATGTCATTTCTCTGGACTTGGTAAATGCCTTTCATTACATCCCATACAAGAGACTAATAAAAAAGGGTAATAATGACATCATAGATGAAATCTCCTTCTAGTGGTGAGATAATAAATAGAGGGAGAAGATCACGAGTGGCGCTAACATATTTTTCCTGGCTCCATTTTTACACTCATTACATAAATCTCTCTTGACATACAAATAGTAAAGTTGTCACATAGGTAAGCTGACAAAAATCATAGATTAAATAATAGCCTCTAAAACAGAAATTATACAAATTAACAACTTTGCTCAATAACAGGAGACTGCAAGATATCATAAAAAAATTTTTTACTGAAGGTAACAAATGTCTGAACCATAAAAGAACATCAAAGCTGTAACATATATATAAATGTATATATATATATATATATATATTATAATAATATATATATATATATATATATATATATATATATATATATTATATATATATACAGCTGCATGAACTTACCAGTTGATTTACTGGCATACTGGTGTGTAACTTTATGGAAATGTTGTTAGGATTATCCAAAGAAAATACTGACCCCTTTAATGAAAACATGTGGGTTGCCCTTGCATCAGGGATAAAATTAGTATATTTTGGTGATAATCCACTGCAGATCCGCATCCTAACCAAAAATGAAATTATAGTAATATAGTAAGCCAGGATTAAAGTGCACTGTTAGATGACTGCACATGATTTCTTTTCTTATCATCATCGTTTGTGACTGCTTCTTCTCTGACTGCATATTTGCTAATTTTTATTACTATTTTTTTCTTAATATGCTTTTTCTACTCCACTCACTCACTCACACTCACACCACCACCCACCACCACCCACCCACCCCACTCACTCTCTAGGGTAGTCTCTTTTTTCAATAAAGATATATTTTTTATAATGCCTACATTCTATAATCATTTCAGTAGTGTGTTTTGACAGCCAATTACATAGTTTCTGTTGATCCTTGCAGAGACAAAAATGCTAATTGGTACCATCTTACACAGAAAAGTATTCAACAGATTTTGAAGTATAAATATTCTCAACAATACTATAAGCTTTCATTATTTAACAATCAGTCAAATAACAAAAAATCAATTATTCTTGTCTTTATAAAAATTTAAAGTTATCACCTACTACACATCACATTCATATAAACATACATTTTTTTCTCAATTAATATTTACACACTTTTGCTTATTGTCATATACTTTAATGAGTTTTTTTTTTTTTTTTTTGGGGGGAGGAATCAAACTTTATTATTATTACTTTAAGAAAAACATTGGAAGAAAAAAATAAACTTTATTATACTAAAAAAAGGTTGAACAAAATAAAAACATGTGAAGTCTCATATATTTTTTTTTCTCTTTCCTTCTATCTTTCCTTTTTTTTTCTCTCTTCCTCTACTTCTTTCTTTTGCAAATTATTGGAACAGGCAGCATAGTGTTTGTGGAAGATTTATCCAAAACAGAGGATAAAAAACAGAAAATGAAAGAGAAATACTGATAATCATACAACCTAGCATCCTGAGTCGTTTTCTCTTTGTTCTTCCAATGTATAGTCTGAAAAATAAAATATGTTTATATTATATAGATAGCTCATTTTTTCTCATTCATATGCATCAGCAAAAACAACTTAAAATATGAAACAGATTTGTTACAAAGATATTTCTTGAGAACTAATTATAGCTAGTGCACATGTATCTAATTCATCAAAAAACTGATAGATAAGTTGTGACTATTGAAGAAAAACAAAGCACCAAGAAAAAACATCACATACTAAATTAACAATTTATATATATGAAAAAGAAAGAAAATAAATATATACCTATAAATAAATACTTCTACATAAAAAAAATTAAACATCATGCAATACATAAATCAATAAACAAGAAATCAATTCAGAAGATTATATCATACGGTTTTCAGAACACATCAAATTTGTTGTAACCCCTGAGTAACTTACTTCTCAAGTGCTCTCATCCTTTAGATATTCTGGGGATCCTGCCAGAGGCTACTCAGATTCTTTTCGAAAGCTTCTCTGTCCTGGGCAATGAAAACCTGCAAACATGCAATTAATGTGATGTCATTAGGTCAAAACTGAATATTCCTTATTGTATTTATTACTTCTGTCCTTTTTTTTTCTTTTCTTCTCTCATTCATTGATTCACTCTCTTTTGTTCTTTCTGCCTTTCTTTCTCTCTTCCCTTTCCTCTTTGCCTCTCTCTTCTCTCTCCTCCTCCTTCCTCCTCCTCCTCCTCCCCTTATCTCTTTTCCTTAAGCTATACCTACAATCTAATTAAAAGGAAGCATAGCCAAATGATCACAATTTATTTTTTGCCATGGTGTGCACTATCTGTTCAACTAGATGTTCCTTACTAATCTACTAGAGCCCATAATGCAGGTGCTCAGATGCCAGTAACCCCACAGCTTCTCATAAACACTGGAGTTATGCAAGTGTATAAGCAACTTTTTAGCCTATCTGACACTCCTAAGGAAGGCTCTTCATACTGTAGCCATTGTTCAGGAGTTTCAAATACTTGTATTGCATATCATTTATGTAAGTGTCTGGAATATCCATCACAGAAAAACTGCTAATTATTAAAGTTTTAACTTGTAAACCAGGAAATTATTTTTTAATCATTACAATTATAAACAATACAAAAAAGGGAAAAATCTCACTTCCCAAAATAAAAAGTTCATTATACATATAAAAACAACTAGAGTAGATAGAGCTCATATAATAAATACAAGACCATTCATATTTTGACAGGGTGATAAGCAACTAGTTATCAACAACCCACAACCCTTGAAGTCCCTCCTCACCTTGTTGCCCATCCAACTATCCAGGCAAGGGCGAGTGATTGACCCTGGCCCAGCCTCCGATCACTATTCACAGCTCCTGCCTCTCAGGAATGCCATGTGCCTTCCTTAGAGCAGTGAGGCTTCCAGGGTCGGACTCAGGGGCATCCCAGTGGTACATGCTGCAGTAGAAGAGGGAGGTGAGCAAGGACTTGTCAGTGATGCTGCTTGCTTGTGGGTGCTCTACCAGCATGGGGTTGCTATGGCCGTGTGCGTCGGCCTCATCAATCATGATTTGTCTTTCTTGATGGCCAAAGGGATGAGAAGTAAGGAGATAAATTAATGATGATTGCGAGAAAGTTCACTTACGGACTATGATTTCTAGGAAAGAAGTAAAATGAAAAATCTAATGATTAACAAGAAAAGAATCATTTGTGAAACACTTTACGGAATTCAGAATCTGCGTCTTACTCTGTTGTGATCCTATTAGGAAGGTATTTCTTCTTAAGTTATGCTTTCTTGTATAGAGGGGATTCTAATGAACATTTTTTATGAACAAAAATTCAGATTCAGACAAATATAAATTGCAAAAATATGGTCTTTATATTCATATACCAAATGAGACAATTCACCATTTTTACTTCATGAGACAGACTGGGATCACTGTGATATATTAAAATCAGGAAAAATAACACATTAGAGAGTGGAAATTATGTACTCTGATTTTTGCATACTAACAATTATAAAAAAGATAACTAAATTACTTTCCACATAAAACTCATTGTAGCTTCTTCATTTTTTCTAAGCAAATTGTGGAAAAGAAAATTAAATAAAAATAGTTACATAACAGCTAAGTACGCTAAATATCATTTAACACATATACAAAGTAAAATATCATAAAGCCATTATAGTTCATGACAATTTAACCTAAAATTGACAAAGAAATAAGTTTATAATGATGTAAATGTTCCAAAGCAAAATCAGTTAAGTTTAATACATTAACCCCAGGGATAAAAAATTTGTCAAGTGGATATTAGCATGGAGTTATTGGCTCTCATGAAGAGCTTCCCCTGTTTCCACCTGACTCGTTTGGTAGTTTGTAGGCAACATTAAGCACCTAAAAGCTTAACTTCAATTTAAGTATTATTGCCTAAAAATTTGACCATAGAACTGATGCCGCTGCTATCGGAGGGAAACGAGCTCTGTCTAAGGAGCCAACGGCACAGGAATGGTCGTGATATGATGCCACCCACTATTTTGTCCACAACAGCCATGGCATGTACATACATGTTGCTTGGCAGAATGGAGTTAAAGCAATATAATCACTGCTATTTGAGTTAATGGACATAAATTTGTGCAGCATGGGACTGTGTTTGCATTTCCTGTAGTATAGGAAATAACAAATAATTTCATGAAATAAAATCTAACTGTGTATGGCATCCATACAGTACAACATTTTACTATTTTACAATCTTATATTGAAAGATATTAATTAAATACATTTGAGGTGTACTAGCATATCACATACGGTTGACAAGAGACATCTACGCATTGTGACTTCTAAATCACTGATTTGCCGTAAAAATTAGCTATTTTCTATTACTGCCTCAGTGTCTATTTATGCTGGAAAAATACCTGAGCCCTGTTTCATATAAGTTATTGAATGAAATGGCTCATATGACCTAATCTATAAGACTGATTAATTAAATTAATTTAATCAATTTAATCATGAATTTCCAACAAGGTTTACTGGTCATAATAGATATGCCAAGTTGCTCAGAATACATTCTTTTTTAAACCCTGAAATAATCAAAGAAATATCTCATCAAATTGGCTTTACATAACTGTTTGATATTTTTACATTATAAGCTTAAAAAAATAGAAATGAAATAAGCTTGTTTTACAAAAATCGTAAGAAGTATATTTAGGTACAATACAATCTTAGATACAATAACCAAATAAAGTTACTTTTAATGATTCCTGAGTAACCTAGACACAACCTGTAATTTACAATATATAGTGTGACAAAGTTGGGGTGAATTAACCTGCCACTGCACATTTAGATAAATATACAACTCACAGCCAGGGTCCCAAGATATCATCCCAGGCACTGGGACCCAGACTCACGACATGATTAGGTGTCACTCTTGTCGGTGAAATTTTAGCCCTCATGTCATAAGACGGCACATAGCATCAATTGTTCAGAAAGATATCTTAACTACGATACTGAGATTAATTATATCCAAATAAACTACATCATATAAGGAAGACGGTGAAATTAACATCATAAGCCATAGCCTAAGCAGGCACTATAAAAAAACAAATAGATATATAGGGTCATTCCATGTCAGTTCACCCAATGAGTTAAACACAACCCCCTCTAAATTTGAAGAAAATAGATATACATCCTTTTTGCCATTTTTTTGAGAAAAAGGGCATGGCCACCAAATTTCAGTCTTATAACTCTGTAACCACTGGCAACATATATATTATTTATATCATCTTTTGAGTGATTTTAGGTTCCATGACCTTTTGACTTACATTTTGACCTTGAAATTGACAATTTGGGACAATTGACCTTGTGATAATTTTCAATGAAAATAGTAGCCTAACATGTTCCTCACAACATATGAAAAAACTGGAGAGGAAATCTTTGTTGTTTTGGAGTAATATTACTTAGAAATTAGGATACCACCACTAAAATGATCATATGCTGGCTGTTCAATCTATGTACATTAAGCACATTCCACACACTGGCAATATCTATTTTCAGGTAAAAGTGACTGCTGGTCCAATTTTACACAATTCAGTGTAAAATATTGCCAATTTTTCCACAGAATCATTTTTCTTATAGGCTATTCTTTGTCTACAGGCCATTAAGAACACAAGCTGGAAATTCTGGCAATTTTCAGCTTGTGTTCTTTATGGAAGAGGATGTCAAGTATGGAGCACCAATCACATACCGTATATCAGATTCAGGAACCCAGCATTAACCATCCTTCGATGGCCAGTGAAAAGTTCTATCAGGTCCATGAGGGTGCATGAATTTTATCCTATAGTCACAAAATTCCTCTGAAACCACTTCCAAAAATCCGATCCATGGTAGTTCGCCATAAAGACAACATACAAAATTCTGACAGTCTTTGAACAGCACAATTAATTTCAGTCTCTATATTCTTTCAGATCTTAAAAGATAATGATGACAATTCTACCAAGGCAGATGTAGGCAATATGAAAAAGCAAACACTATGAGTAAAAAATGGAGGATATGTGTGTGGGGTGGGGGTAACAAAGTTTCAATCATATTTGCAGGGGAATAAATAAACAACAATATACAATAATTAAATAAAAAAAAATTAAAAAAGGGTAAGTCATCAAATCAAACCTCATCAAATGAATGTGTTCCACTGCCTTTGGTGAAGCTCTCCATGATTACTTTGTTTTTCTGCATATCTTCCTCACTTAAATGATACACAGTGTGTGATTGGTGCTCCATACCTGACATCCTCTTCCACTAGGAACAACAGTATCTCTAATGACGACATTACCAGAATTTCTAGCTTGTGTTTTAAATGGTCTGTTGACAAAGAAGAGCCTATAAGAAAAGGGATTTTGTGGAAAAATTGGCAATATTTTTACACAGAATTGTGCAAAATTGGACCAACAGTCACTTTTACCTGATAATAGATATTGCCAATATGTGGAATGTGCTTAATGTACACAGAATATACAAGATATGATCATTCTACTGGCAAGTATCCAAATTTCTAATTGATATTACTCCCAAACAACAAAAATTACCTATCCAGTTTTATTCATTAGTTTTGGGGAACACATTGGACTACCATTTTTATTGAAAATTATCACAAGGTCAATTGTTCCAAATTGTCGATTTCAAGGTCAAAGTATGGGTTAAAAGGTCATGGAACCTAAAATCACTCAATAAATAAAATAAATGTCATATTGGTATTCCCTGTAAGTTCCCCTTTACAAATATATTCCATTTTTGAAAATCGGACCTGTGGTTAAAGAGTTATTGGACTGTGAAATTTGGCGGCCATGGCCTTTTTCACAAAAGAACCGTCTGTCTGATTGAGCTAAAATTTGGGAATTTGGCTTTTCTGACTAGGAATTACATGTATATCTATTTTCTTCCAGTTTGGAGGGGGTGAGCTTTAAAATATTTTTTTTGGGGGTTATCCTATAACTTTTGAACATAACCTTAATCAATAAGTTATCTTTAGTGGTGTTCTACATGTGAACAGGCCAGGACTACCACCCCATCCATTACTTTTAAAGCCACATCAATCAGCATGCACTTGTCCTTGTCAACAACAATAATAACAATAACATCAACAATAATAATAAGAAGAATTACAGGGAGAAGAGAGGAACAGCAACAGTAAGACCAAGGAAAGGAGCGAACAATTGAGGAGAAAACGGCAGAGCTACAACTCACTTCCAAGCATCTCTTCAGCTGACCAATTTCCTTATCCCTGGCACTACACTGCGATCGGCTGGCACTCCCTCGACCTGGATATCTGAGGAATTAAAAACCTTTTTAAAAAATAATATAATAAATAATAATAATAATAATCCCAACTGCTCAAAAGAAATCCTAAAGAGAATCAAATACTTCTACATACTTCTAGTAAAATTTGTAAAATAAATTGCCCTGCCTATGCATTCCCTTCCATTCACATCATTTAAAAAAAAAACTGATATTTAGTTCAATATTTTGATTATCTGAGAGGCACTGTTGTAATCAAAAGTATAATTTTCATTTCATATAAAATATCATTACCATCACTTAAAGTACCAGTTGAAGAACTTGTGAAGAACTATAGATAGTAGATTTTCAGGATGCATTGTTATCAGAAGCTACTACTTGTACTGGTTGTTTCCAAGAGCATCTATGCTAGAAGTGGTTGAGACATTACCACCTCTACTTTGGAAATTCTGCTTGGACAACTGCATCTCTGAAGATGTCCCGGTCAATGTACCTTCACACTAAAATCAAGAAAAAAAAAAGATTAATTGCAAGACTGTATTAAAGGTTATTTAATAATTCATCAGAGGATATCTTAAATACGTGAGTGAAAAGCTTATACCCTCACAAAAGGTAATAAAGACCATTACTAACAACGGTTAACAAAATTAAAGAAGCAGAAACATGTAAGCCTATACATCTGCTTGTGTTAAATCTCATTAACAATAAGTCAAAAAGGGGAAAAGGGAGAAATGCCTATATGTGAATTATCATAAATCTAATACGAGCTGAATATTAATGTACCGTTCCCTCTACTTCCTGGCTCACCCTTGAATAATGTCAATGTGCTTCTTTTCCAGTATTTGACAGATACCCTTTACTCATACTTGCAGTTGTTTAGGATGCAAAAGTAAGAGCTAGCATTTCACATACTATTAATGAATAATAATCTTGTACGTGGTGTTGACTGCACATCTGTAGGATCAAGAATTTTGCACACTAACCATTCTACAGGCAAGTTTTACTAATCCAGTAGCTACTAAAAGGAGTGCTGGATTCATGAAAATGTCAAATCAGTGAAGCTTCACCACTACATAAATGCTATTAAAATAAATACACGCTGAAATATAAAGCAAATGAAAAAGATTGATGAATAACAAGTAAAACCATGTGATGCCTTCACAATGTAATATACTGTGTAAGTTTCCATGCAGCTATTCATATCAGAAGAAAATAAAACATAGGCTAGGTTTATGTTCAGGTGGTTTGGGTAAATCTCATTCAGGTTAAAATTCAATAAAGTGAAAATAATAAATAGCTGACAAGTAGCTTTCTGCATAAGCTGCAAAAAAACAAACAAACTTTGGTATAGGCAACCCGACCCACAATATTTTTTGCTAAATTCCATTACCACAAATCTAAAACCCTAGTTTAAAAAATACCACCAAAAGCACAACCCCTAGTGCCACAACGGCTTAATTTATGACTACCAAAGCACACTAAGCAAACCTCGTGCCACAGGGACTGCATCGTTTATTGGCACTAACTGATATACGGCGATACTGCATACGGAAAGCGTACATCATCTCAATATCAAATTAGCAACCCTCTGACTGAGGCTTTAAAAAATAAACAAAATTTGAATTTTAAAATTAAACTTCAGTTTTATTTTTCCACTGTAATATCAAGGTCTGGGAGGCAGGGTTTAGAGTGAGGTGATATCCACGAACAGGTTCATTATATCACTTCTCATAAAAATACGTAAATCATCTCCATAGGGAGTCTGTTACCTGAACCATTTTTTGGGGAGGGGGGGGGTGTTAATGTGAAAAGTGAAAACATTCAGATCCTACTTGACAGAAACTTGACTCAAATGTTTAATTTTTTCAAAATTGTATTTTCATTATCTTTTCTAATTTACTCATATTACAAAACCCTAACATGCTTTGTTTCATTCTGTGATGTATGCCATCAGCAAGGCATCATTAATCACCTACTTTTCCAAAACAAATTTCAGTCCCATAAAAATAAGATCTCTAAGACATGCGTCATTATACGGAGATTATCACATGGTTAAATTCCAAATTTGTATTTTTTAACAACACAGCTCACCTATCATGTACACATTTATACTAATTCCTTAACAAGTTGATAACAATGATCAAATTCCTTATCAAAACTGTTTCAAATAAACATACTTCATAACATCAAAGTCGTCCCACATTTTAATTCAGTAAACACTTACATGCACAGCTAAATTATCCAAGGCCTGCGGTGTAGTGTCTGTTGCACCCCAATATGCCCTGTTCTCTGCACGACTCATCTTTTATTCCCCTGGAAGAAGAACAGAATCTCAGTACTCCACAGGTAGAAAACAACAGCAGAACAGGTATAAACATGTAACTAGTTTAAGAGGTTGTCTACTGACATCAGTGTACAATCAAATTTTTTGGTGAGGGCTATACACTGTCCAGCCGGATAAAAATATATCTTTAAACTTTAAAGAGCAAAATAAAGAATGAAGCAAAAATCTATTACTCAGATTTTAGTACCAGGCTCCTATTAAAAATTTTCTTTGCTTTTTCAACTGTCATTAAACTTTGTGTGCTGGTGTCTCCCTGCTTATATAGATATATCTCAAAGTATTTCCGATACACTATATAAGCTCTGTAAATGTCTCAGAATCATAATAACTGAATTTAGAAATACCAGGATAAAATATAAAGTGAATAATCTTTAATCATTGTACACCAGAACAGAGATCCTTGTACGCAGCTTCCCATGAATTCTTACAAAAAGCACAATATCACTTGATAGTAACAATAGCGGCAACAATGAAATCCTTAGATTTAGTACAGAGTAGATTTCATTAACTTTATTGACAATTTTTGTTCTAATGGGGTCTGAATTGTACCTACCAAACTGCAAGGGAGAACAAATAATGGAAATAATGTATGCAAATATCATAGGCAGAAATGAATGCAACTGCTCAATGTTTGCATGTGTTACCATGAAGAGGCCTCAGGCAAGATAGCTGGCTAAAAAGGAATGGCAGATGCTGAGGAGTCCTTGTTGTCACTTACAAACAGCTAATGGAGATCACCCCACAACATTTGGAGGCAGGTTTAGTGACAGAATGAGGGAATACATATTATTGAAGTAAAAAAACACTTATTAGTTTCCCTTTAATCAACGCATTCTAATATCAAAGAACAAATATATATCAATATAAAGAAATGTATGCTAAAAGTTGAACTTCATTATTCGTCCGAGAGGGTAGCACAGAAATAAATAGGGAAAATAACAATTTAAGACATGACTGATCATTTATCATACAATGACATACGATAAATCAGAAAAACAACAAAATCATCATTAGTGTTTAAATATACTTTAAAGCTGAACTGCCCTCACAAGGTATAGTGATTGTGGGTGTTCATTTGTTTAAAACCCATTTTCTCTGAATAATTATTATACCCCTTCCAGCTCTGGGGACCAAGCTCGTAACCTTTATCTCTGTACAATGTTTAACGTTTGAAACAAATAAATATGTTAGACATCAAAGGTCATATAGCACTATGGTGAAGTATTGTGTCAGAAAGGGTAAAGAGTTACAGATTAGGATAAAATGTGTTAGTAGGAAGATAAAATGATTAGTAGAAAGGGGAGGGTAAACGGGGTAGGGCAATTAAGCAAACTGGTGTATATCTGTTACTGGGGAAGGTATAGGAATAATGTTCAAGGAAAACAGAGATGATTCTTGTAAAAGTAGGAGAAGAATCCGGGGAGAGGGATGGTTGTTAGATGTCAAAGATTAGAGGATGTTATAGGAAAGTATGGAAAAAAGGGAAAAGGGAAAGTAAATGAACTAGAGCAGGAAATAGTAAAATGGGAAAGGTTCAGATTGTCTTCAAGGGATTCTGGAGAGGAGTTGGGTGAAGAGGACTGAGCAAAAAAGGTTCTCTTATAAGGAGAAGAGAAGATAGATATCTGAGGAGCAGAAGAGGAAGGTGTAGGAAAGGATATAGTATGAGAGGGTGGAATGGAACATCTAGGTTGCCTGGTACAACAGCAAAATTAAGCAGGAGGGGAAGGTATTGGGGGAAGTGGTAGAGATTGGAGTATTTGGATTTAGATTGGAAAATGAATTTGACTGGGGGATAGGGTGAGTAGATGTAGGATGGTTTAGGGTATAGGGAAGAGATACTGGGGGATATGTAGAAACATCTTGTGAAGATGGTGGGGGAGCAGAGCGAAGGAATGTTTTGGAAGAAGTTGAGAGAGCAAAACCTCGTTGTCATTCTTCTTGTCTGGCCTCATGTAGAGTGAGGACTAGTTTGAATCTGATGACTGCTATTTAACATTTGAGCTTATAGGCAGGGCAGCTCCTATAAAATACATAATGTGAGTCTCCACAATTGGCACGTGTACATGAATGAGCACGGCAATTTGAGCAGTCATGACCATGAGGGCAGTGGGCTGTGGAGAGATAGTGTTTGGATGGGTGGCCAAAACACCAACATTTCTGACATTGACAAGGAAGGGGTCGATATGGTCAGACATGGTAGGACAATCCATGGTAAATATAGAGCTCATGGGGGAGGTCATGTCTACAGAAGATAATCTTGGCAATACTGACAAGGAACTTATGCTGGCCTTTGGGAAGAATAGTGGGTAATTTTCTATATTACCTCCGCCTCTCCGATATCGACGATTTTGGTATCGTTGGATTCCTCTCACTGTCCACATTGCAAATATATAGTTTTTATTGCGTGGAAACCCCTGTTAGTGACAAACTTTGCCCCAATAGCAGGGGAGGGCATGGAAGGTTCCAGGGAAAATGCGGGGTTGAATAACACTAATAATATAATCCACAGTGAAAATAACCATGGTCATTAACATAACTTTCCATTGCAGGGGGCTGTGCCCCCTGCAAACCCCCCCTGAGGGCCAAACCCCTGCCGAGGACACAAAATATCCCCTACGTATTCACGGCAGGATAGAGCGCACACGAACTAGATGCATCGCAGAAGGTGCAAAACCCGCCGACCCGACGAGGGCAGGTCACCGCCGCTCTTCTGTTCATGGTATACCTTGTTCATCCTGATTATACTACCATCGTATCTGCATACAATGTTGACTATGTCAAGGTTAGTATGCTGATTCAGTGGGAATGTTACGAGGTAAATGTAATACGTCCGCCGCTCCGAGATCGCCGATAACTGTGTAACGCTCTAGCCTGCCGAGAATACGTGGTGGAGGTTTTGTTTCCTGCAATGGAAAGTCATGTGAATAACCATGGTTATTTTCACTGTGGATTATATTATTAGTGTTATTCAACCCTGCACTTTCCCTGGACCCTTCCATGCCCTCCCCTGCTATCGGGGCTAAGTTTGTTGCTAACTGGGGGTTTCCGCGCAATAAAACCTACATATTTACATTGTATAGAGTGAGAGGAATCCAACGATACCAAAATCTTCGATATCGGAGAGGCGGAGGTAATACAGAAAATTACAGAATAGTGTAACTGTACTGCCACTGCATCATAACCAGCAAGGCAGATAAGTAGTCATTTTCACAGTCTGACCAGTCCTTGTTATAGATGGGACAAGCATTTGGGGGAATAGAAACAGTTCCCTACATTGGGCCTCAGTCTCCATCTCTTTACCCTCCCAGGACAACAACGAGCAAGGTATTGGGGGGGGATCTCTGCACAGAGATGTATCTTTCTTTGCATAATAATCCCTAGTCAGACCAGCCTTATATAATACATAAGCTGTCGAGGACCTAATATCAAGGCTTTTCAACATCTATTTTGTTACATGATTAACTATAACACCAACTCACAAACGGTTCCAAAGGATTTTCACGCAATTTTTGTTATTGTTGTGGCTTCAACTTTGAAAACGGCACTTTTGAAGCCTGGCCGGCTACCTTAGGCTCGGTTTCCCTTACGTAGTGTAACTTTTATGTATGTATTTTTATTACTATCATTATTATTTTTTTGTTCCTTTTATTATTTCTGTTATTTTTTCTTTATCACCGTCAGTCTGTCAGTCTGTTTGTCTGTCTGACTGTCTGTCTGTATGTCCGTCTCTGCCTCTGTATCTGCCTGTCTGTCCGCCTCCCTATCTATCTATCTATCTATATATCTATTCATCTATCTGTCTATGTATCTGTCTGTCTATCTATCGATCGATCGATCTCCCCCCTCTCCCCTCTCTTCTCTCTCTCTCTTTCTCTCTTTCTCTCGCTCTCTCGCTCTCTCGCTCTCTCGCTCTCTCGCTCTCTCGCTCTCTCGCTCTCTCGCTCTCTCGCTCTCTCGCTCTCTCGCTCTCTCGCTCTCGCTCTCTCGCTCTCTCGCTCTCTCGCTCTCTCGCTCTCTCGCTCTCTCGCTCTCTCGCTCTCTCGCTCTCTCGCTCTCTCGCTCTCTCGCTCTCTCGCTCTCGCTCTCTCGCTCTCTCGCTCTCTCGCTCTCGCTCTCTCGCTCTCTCGCTCTCTCGCTCTCTCGCTCTCTCGCTCTCTCGCTCTCTCGCTCTCTCGCTCTCTCGCTCTCTCTCTCTCTCTCTCTCGCTCTCTCTCTCTCTCTCTCTCTCTCTCTCTCTCTCTCTCTCTCTC